CACCTTTTGGACAACGGTCAGGGTCGTCCGTAATTGTAGAAAAACTAAAAACCCATCGTCCTGCAAAAGGGTGGGTGGGTTTGGGGAGGGGAGGGGGGGAGGGGTGTCATGAGTGATGGTGGTGACGGGACTTGAGCCTCTACAAGAGCGTCACATGCACCGGGAGAGCAATCACCTTGGTTGAGGTCCGGCAGGTGTGTAAGGTTCGCGAGGGACTACTGGCTAGAGCCGGTGGGCGCATTTCGTGTGGCATGCTCGTCGGGGGCGAAAATAAACTAGTCTGGCCAAGCTAATGCTCGTTGCGTTCATCAAAATCCCCAAACGCTTCCCGACATCATCAGCAAGTTGAGACAGTAGAGCTGGCAACACCTCCAGCACATCTTGCAAAATGACCTCGCACAGTTGAACAAAAATCTAATGCACGGAAAATACTTACGAGTGCATATGATAGCCACTTCCTTCACACCGTCTTTGCTTTTTATTACATTCCATTCTCGAGCTGAAATTGGAATGAACGTGGCCTTATAAGAATTTCCACCGTTCCAAGTTTCTCGGACTAGGACACGGACATGGTCCGAATGGTAGTTACTGATGAGTCTGTCCACCGCCTTCTTCACGCTCAGCCTGAACGGCAAATGTTTGTACGCATTCATGTCAAACATGTGCGCACCATTTCTTTCGCATGCTCTGTCTGCTGCGTCCAGTGTTGCCATCCCCAAGTACATATAAGTCAAGTTGAAACCGTGTCCGCCAATATGGACTTGTATTGGATCTGAGAGGGTGCACGCCAGTAGAACACGGACACGCAGGAATGGGCCCATTGCCCATTGCCACATATGGAATGTATGAGTAATGCTTGTCAGTAGGCTGGGATCAGGAATGCACTGTTCAACACCACACGTCCATGCCCAGGTGACTGTGATGGGTGTTTATGGTACAAATTACGTCATCGTGCAATGGATCAATTGAGTTGCACTGATCTATATACCCAGAAACCCGTTTTTCCAATCCTGAAAGGCACGCGACTTTAACGATGGGTGTGAAATCGCTCATGTAAGCGGGCGCAAACGTGAAGCTGCAGACTCGAGTCAACAATCAAATGGACTCCAAACACAAACGTTTGCCAGTGCAAAATGGTCTCTCATCGCAATTCGTGAACTAGAACGGGCACAACCGATAAGGGGTTAATGGTACGTGCAAAATCAACACATTGCCAGCCATCACTTGACAAGCACAATGCAGAAGAGGTGACCTTTTCCACACTATGGATGCGGATAAGCCAGAAGCGCTCTAGGTTGGAACGAGCCCATTGCGCAATGACATAATTTGTACCGCAAACACCTCACTCAGCCACTTGGGAATGGTCATCCGGGGTTATGAACAGCAGTGCATCTCTGATCACAGCGTACTCACACGCATTACTCATGCCTTCCATATTAATTTTGGCAATGCACAATGGGCTTATTGGTCGTCAGACTCGTCACGTTTGATGGCATGCAGCTGTGCAGCTGAGTTTCGCAGGTCAATTCAGCATTTTAATACTACCGTAAAGTACCGCCAGAGCGCCCCACCATCTTGTCCTTTTGCGGTCACCTTGCGGAGGTGGTGTCCTGTCTGTAGGCCATATGACACAAACCTTGTACACACATTGCACGTTGTGCAGTCAATCCGTACTCATTTTGCCCTTGAGTTCCACACAAAACCCTGCTAAGTGTGACCTTAGTTCGCTAAATGGCTCGCGCTGTATAATCTTCATTGCACTCTGCCATACGATTTGCCTTTCCCTGGCTGTAAAACCAAGGTTTGGTGCTCTTTCGAGACGGGGCACTCTCGCGCGACGGGGCACTCTCGCGCGACGGGGCACTCTTGCGCGACGGGGCACTCTGGCGGTACTTTACGGAATTAGAATTGCTTGTATGGTGCCCGCTTGAGCATGTGGCCCACATCACCAGTAGTCATTGCAGGCTGAAAGGACTGTTTCGCACCTAATAGGGTGCATGGAAGAAGCATGCTTTTCCTGCAGGACACATGTTTCTATTCCAGGCAATGAATTAGCAATGAAAAATCTCTCTCTCCGCCTCTGTTTGTGTGTGTGTGTGTGTGTGTCTGTCTGTCTGTCTGTCTGCATGTCTGTCTGTCTGCATGTCTGTCTGTGTGTCTGCATGTCTGTCTGTTTGTATGTCTGTCTGTTTGTAAGTCTGTCTGTGTGTCTGTCTGTCTCGCTGTCGGTCTGTCTGTCTGTCTGTCTGTCTGTCTGTCTGTCTGTCTGTCTGTCTGTCTCTCTGTCTGTCTCTCTCTCCCTCTCTTTCTCTCTCTTTCTCTCTCTCTCTCTCTTTCATCTTCTCAATCTCTATTGTGTGATTCCTTATTGTTCACATCTTTATCTCTCTTCTCCTCTCCCGTCCCTCGCACACTCATGCACAATATGTTTGGTGATAGTGTGCTGCTTCGAGAAACTGGTCTTGTAATAAGGAAGCTTGAAAGGAATGCCAGGTTGCTGGCAGTGACTGACTCATGAGGAGAAGCAATATGTCAACATTGTGCCACAATTTGGTTGAAAAGCAATGTCAATCAAGTGGAAGCAACTGGCTCATGATGAGCCTGCAACTGACTCATGATGAGCCTGCAACTGGCTCATGATGAGCCGCAACTAGCAAAGAAAATGACTAATCAGGATCAATAGAGCTCCATAGGGAAGCATCACTATCCCCAAACTACCAGTAACTTATAAACCAAACAATACGACAAAGTTACTCTAAATTCGCAATGTTCTGGAGATGTATAGCTAGATTGATCCCCCTATGATTTGGACATGATCACTTCAGTTTGCAGTGAGTGCGTAAACCGACAACCATCTTGTAGCATGATAGCATTCATGCAAGTCAGTCAGTCAGGGCTTGCTGCTGAACTGAACATGAAGCACAGGGCCTAACGAGTGCACTTACCGGTGAAGCGTGCTGGAACACGGAAACAGAAAAATTACACACTCACGCACGCACGCACACACGCATGCACACGCGCACACACACGCACACACACACACACACACACACACACACACACACACACACACACACACGCATGCAAGCATGCACACGCACGCACACGAACACGCACACAAACACACACACACATGCACACATGCACACATGTAGACAAAACACGCATGACAACACACATAACGAGCACACAGGCACACACACACACACACACACACGGAAACACACACACACACAGACACACTCACACACACATCGCACCCAACAAACAGAGGAACACACATAGATAAGGTTTGGGTGGAGAAAGAATACAACCTTAATGTTCCAAGTGCTCTACTTCCATGCTGGTCGGGAAATGTATCTGTAGTACCTGATCAAGCAGTAACATGTACTTTTACGAGTAGTAAAATTTCGACATCAGGTATCTGCCAGGTGTCAGGTTTGATGTAGAAATAGGTGAGCAGCATTCCCTTCACATACACTGTCATACTTTAGTGCCTTTTAGGTGTAATTTTCAATCTAGGTGCCTGGTTTCCCTACCGAAATTATCGAAATTCAGGTCATACCGAAAATAACGTGCTGTACTGTATTGCATTTTTTGCAAGTTAACTAAACTACAGAAGTTACAATTGTCCATGCCCTACACAATCGTACACATCTCTCAGAGGGAACTGGACATACTGCAGCAATGTAGATTGATGTCGATAGTTTCACAAAATCTAAGGCATGGCCAAATTTGGGAAACTAAGTTCTCATTCCGCCGAGTTTCTGTTCAAATTCACAGGTCCTAGTTGTAGTTCAGAAAGACAGCTAGAAGAGAATGCAAGTGCTGTGCATAGAACTATATTGAGGCTCAATGGGACAGAGCAACGAACGTTACGATGCATGAAGCCTGAAGGTGTTCATTTGCTCTTCAGTAATGCTTACTGCACATGCCACCACACACCCGACCACACGTAAATTTCCGAAACAAATATCTGCCTAGAAGGCCAAATGTGTGAACAATGAACATATACCAAAACTGTGCTGAAAACCTTCGAATACGGGAAATCAACACGCACGACATCACTGGCCAAATAGCTAAACGACACGAAGAAAAACGTTACCATGGAGATAATGGAACAATTTCCTTGGAGACAAGAACGCAATCATACCTAGAAGTAGGACACACTCTATGGTCTTAAACATTTTGATAGTTTTCACTAGTCTACTTTCATCCCTGGGAACTGAGAACTTGTGGCCAGGCACAAGGGGTACATGGATGCAGCTAATGGGGTCGTTTTCGGCACTTGTGCCAGTGGTTGTGAGACTTGCCCACTCACCCCCACCGTTAGGCGCTGCATCTGCCGCTAGGGTTTATCGGGTGTTAGCGGCCGTCGTGAGTTACCTTCGGGAACGGATACGATAATTTACTTTTACTTTTTACTTTACTTTCATCTCTTATCAGAGATAATGAAACTAGACAGTAACAGCACTCTGGCTAATATTATTATAAGACATGCATGATTTGGTGGGTAAAGAATGAGCAGTATACCGTTGCTTTTACTTACGATCATTCAGCTTTCTAGAAGCTGCAAGCAAGTTAAAACCACACACAAGACATACATGTACCGTTATGCCATATTGTACGATTTTTTGTTAATATTATACCCTTGCCATAGCATCAAAACTAGGGCTGAAACGATCGTGGATTTTCAAGTATCGATTACTCTTTGGCTTAACGATCGAGTAATCGATTATAATCGTTAGAAAATAGAGTCATAATTCTGTGCAAACATTACTGTTTCCACAAACTATGCCTTCATACCAACAAATCTGCATTAGTGAAAGGGTAGCTCCGAAACATGGCAGTTTTGAAGTCAATTTAACCTCAGAACATGAACCATACCCCTGGCAACTGCATACTCCCAGCGGAAACTGATTCAAACTTCACAAAACGAGGGTTTACAGTACTTTCTTGACACAAATTTAAAAAAACGCAAAATAATCGTAATCGGTAATCTAAACGATTGCTTGATCGTCAGAGTTATCAAACGAGTACTCGATTATTCGGTATAATCGTTTAATCCCTAATCAAAACCATACACATGCACACTATGTATACAGAAAGGCACCATCACTACACCAACTGCATTTCCATAATATCTCACAGACATATCCAGCGAAAATTGGCCTCCCTGGAAAGGAGAAACTACAGCGTACATGCTGCCAGCTGGATATTTATAACATTACTTTCAGAATAGGAGATGAATCCGACGTGTGTCACCAGTGCAGCCATAGGTCCCTCCAGATCCCTCAGCAACTTGACTCATGGAAGAAGGAGCTGTCACGCATACGGTCAGCTTCTTCCACACTCTCTTTCTCCTTATCTTTCACTCTA